TACATTATACAATATTTCATTTTAACCCGCGAATTTAATTATTGCCCTAATTGAGTCATCAAAAAGAATCCATTCAATCACATATTCATAGTTTTAAAACAAACTCTTTATTTCTTAACCCAAGTTATTTGGTCAACGAAAAAACAATTTATATGTTATCACGCGTTTATGCTTGTTTAGCCAGTATCGGTATCAGAATACAAATGTTTATAACACTGCATTTTTGATTGGTTAAAATTATCATTCCAGTAAAAAATTCATGAGATTCCAATTCTAGTAATTCTAGTCAACAACAGTGATAATACTGTAATATTACACATTCATCAATTCTACGTATTAGATTGGATATCGAAATTCGCATAACGATAACAAATAAGGATAGGTACAGTACGTATATACGTATGTAGCCACCCTCGCGAATTTATTATTATTATATTATATTCATCAAGCGTTAAAATCCTCTTTTATGTAGTGGTATCGTACTAGATACGTACGCAAATACCAATCATATTAACTATAATCTAAAATAAAATTAATAAAACTCTAGTTTACTATAAATACATAAAAAACATTTTTAAGTCAAAAAAAAAAAAGAGACTATCAAGAATTAAAAATTAAGAAATAACAAGAATTGGATTACAAAACTCATAAAAATTGGAGTAAACCCAAAGCCATTAATCCTATCATTAAAACAGAGCTACTTAATAATGAACTAGCATCAGATTTTTGACCATTGCTATTAGATTTTCCGTCACCGGTAGGACTGGAATTATTGGAACCTGTAGAATTATTGTTTGTTGAATTTGTAATTGGTACACTTGTATCCACATAAGCACAAGATGAGTCAGTGCACAAACAAGCATTTCCAATTGGATCCCACCAAACAGTATCACAATTGTTTGGTAGTCTGTGTCTACTACCATTACCACCTAAGAAAGTATAGGAAATTTTTTAGAAACTGTGAAAAAAAAAAATAAAAAAAAAATAAAATTGAATGAGCATACCTGGGGGAACAGGATTATCAAGCGTAATATCACTGGTTGGACAACCATAACATGTACTCCATGAACCATTAGGGAAAGAACAAGTTTCTAAAAGACCATCGTCAGTTATGCCATTACAAATCTTTTTGTCAATCTTTGGAGCTTGACATTTGAATGGAGCATAATCTTTAAGTTCACTTGCGGGAACAGGATTTTGCATCCAGGTGATAAGTTGTTGTGAAGTTACAAACCACACATTTGGTTGAGCTAATGCCCAATCTAAAAATTCTTCAAGCATCGTAATCAATGAAGCATTATCTGATTATAAAAAATAAAGTATTATAGGTTTAATATAGTTTAAAAACAAAGACACAAATTAGAAAAGCAAAGATTATTACCTCTACCGGGAATGTTAAGTTGAACAGGGTGAATATAAAGACCTAAGTTGTAGAAAGGGTTAAAATAATAATAATAATAATAATAATAATAAAGTAATAGAAAGATTAACGAGCAGAAGTAATCAAAGTGCTAAATAATTATTTACCAAATGGGGTTTTTCCATTTTGAGTATGATAATTAAAATTATCTTGTAACCATTTTTTTACAGTGTCGGTAGAAGCATCGAGGTATGGATCCATCAAATGGGCTACATTAGCTTCATCTAAGAATTAATGATAGCATTAGATTGTTTAACTGTTAAGGAAACGAATTTATATCGATAATGAATGTATTGATTTGATATTAATATATATATTGTATACATACCGATAATGGCAGCCATTGGAATTTCAAAGAAACCAGGATGTACTACTTTATCACAGAAATTTGATGTAGTACAATCATGAGCAAGGCCATTGTCTAAAGTATAAGGCCAGGACGCATCCTCACGCTTTTTTAAAAATCAAAAGATTTAATGATAGTAAAAAAGAAAAATTGAATTGACAAGATTGAACCAATTTGTATTTACCAAAGCTGTAACACTCGAATCATATTGGAAGCCTAATTTTGAAAGAATTTCAAAAGTTTCCACTGAATAATTTAGAAATGGGCTATTAATTTAAGATAAATTGTTAATAGTTGGATAAAAATAGTC